GCGACGGCCGGCGGCGGCGGCGGCGGCGGCGGCGGCGGCTGTGGCTGCAGATGGAGGCGCAAGGGGGCTTGCCTTCATCTGTCAAGCTTCTCACAGAGGGTGGATTCGGGCCCCGGCTCCCGAGCTGCCTGCACGCGGGCATAGTGTATGTGGCGCGGCGTGCGTGACGCCCATTTGACAGCGCGTCAGGCGTCCATAGGGACCGGGGCGGCGCGCGTCGACCTCGGGATAGGCCGCACCTTTGCTTCCCTGGGTGCGAGCGGTTTTTGTAACATACATACCTGCGCGCTGTTTCGGACGGCGGGGGGGGGGGCGGGGGCTGAGAGTCAGCGCTTGCGGGGAGGGGCGCGCGGGGGCCGATGGGGGGCGTGATTTGACGCCGGAGCGCCTGCTGACTAGGTTGTGATGACAGTATCAGGCTTCAGGGGACAATCAGGCGCACCAACGGCTGAATATGCACTGGTTTCCACAGACACCCCCGAGGGCGCGGCGCATCCGCGTGTGCCAGGCCCAAATGCCGCGCTAGTGTCGCTGTGTCAGGAGTTTGGGAGGGGGCAGCCTTGCGCGGTTGGGTTTGGGCGACGTCGCTCGTTTGCACTTATGGCATGGGCGCGCGGCACAGGCATCTGCGGCATGACCAAGGTGTCTGTAAATACACCACAAGCCCCGCAGGAGTACAGACTGCCCCCTCAACAGCACTGCGTCACACCACACGCCACTCAGCCAAGTAGCTTGCTTCCTGTCGACCTCACAGGTTGGCTCCTGGCCCCCCATGTGCATGTGCCTAATGTGCATTGTGTTGAAAACAACGACTGATGCAGCTCTCCCCGATATAATGGGGTCACATCCTGTGTACATGTGGATGTCCGGGGGAAACAAAACCGTACTTGCCCCAAACTTTGGGCCACTTGGCCCCAGCCACTCTCACCGTGGGTGACACGCGCTGAAGCCGCACGCGCTCTCAGAGAGCGATTCTTCAGCATAATATCTCTCTCTCGTATACAAATGGCAGCTCTGTAACTCCTTTGACGTGATTGCGGCGGAGAGAGTATCCTCCCGGGCGGGCCGAGTCCGCGCGCGCGCAGTGCGTGCTCTCAGTTATACAACATGGCCATTAAAAGCATAATCATTACTATGCTTTTCATGATGGTCATGATGGCTGCAGGAGCCCGTACAGCGCGCCTGCCGCTCGCCGTCGCTGCAGGGGCGGACTGGCGCTCTCCCTCGCCAAAGCCGCTGCAGCAGCACCAGCAGCAGCAGCACCAGCAGCTGCGCGAACCCCTGCAATGGTGGCGTTCGTGGCGCCTGTGGCAGCTGCGGCGCGACGGCGGCAGCGCGGGCGCCGCGGGCGCGACCCCCAGCAGCATCGACCAGCGGGCGCTCGACGCCGAGCTCGCGGCGCATGCGCGCTTCTACGCCGCCGCCGCCGCCGGCGCAGATGGGAGTTATGAGGACTATCAACATGACCACGACGACTTGCCGCCCGTGGCCGAGATCGTCGCCGGGACAGACGAGCCCGCGCCCGAGGCGGACGGGGCGGCGACGCCGGGCGAGGCGGGGGCGGCGGCGGCCGGCGGCAACCAGGCACCCGAGCCGGCGGCGGACCCCGAGCCGGAGGACGCCCGGCCTGCCGCGTCGTGAGCGCGCCGTGCGCTTGGGTCGCCTGCATACTTGTTGATATCACATTGGTTGTCCAGCCTGCACCTACCCTTTTCCCTGAAGCGCCGGCCCGCTGGCTGCCGCCCCCTGCTGCGCGGCTGTTAAACTGCCGGCCAAAATGATTTGCAGCCCTTGTGCCTTGAAGGATCCACCTTGCTTGCAGCGGTCTTCCGCAATGCGGCACATGCGCATAGCGTTCCTGAATCGGAGCCGAAGCCCGAATGCTGCTGCAGCCCATTGATGACTCGATGATGGGTTGACTTGTTTACATACTTCACACTGCGCCTGTTTTGCGCATCTCAGGGACCGCGCCGCGACGCGCTATGCTCTCTCATTATGTTGGGGACGGCGCCGCAGAAGCGCGCCGTGGGCGCGGCTCGTTGAGCCCGCGCGCCCGCAGCCCCGGCGCTTTCATAATGAATTTCAAGTAGGCAGCTGGCGCACACGTATCAAAGGCAACAATGAATGATCATCGGCGTAGTGCTGCTGTAATGAAGACCAAGTGTTTGCAGCCAAGTCGCCCGCGCGGTGAAGCCGCGTCACGTGCGTGGCCAACCAGCAAAAACGCGACGCTGCCGCGCCGAGCTCAAGGCGAGCCCCTCCCCGGCGAGTAGTATTCCCGCCCGCTGCTGCTGCTGCCCCGCCGAAGACGCCGCAGGCCCGCCGCGCCACCGCCGCCGTCGAGGCCCGGGTCGCCGCCGTACTTGCGCAGCACATCCAGCAGCCGCGCCACGCCCCCTCCGCCGCGCCCGGCCGTGCCGCCGCCGCGGCCGCCGCCGCCCGCCGCGCCGGCGCGCTCCTCGTCGCTGCCGCTGCTGCTGCTGCTGCCACCTCCGCTGCCGCTTGAAGGGCTGCTGCTGCCTTGGCTCCGGTATCGCGGGCGGCCCTGGGTGGATTGCAGCAGTGATACAGGCAGTTGTCAGCAGCGAAGCCGTGCAAAAAAAATGAGCAGTCAACAAGGGATGGAGGGAAAAGCCATGCTGACCGAGTGCCACATGGTGTGATGCAGCAATGCAGAATAGGGTAAAGGGTCCGTCGGGATGGGCCAGGCTGCTGGCTTGGCCATCAGAGTGGTGACTCACAGAGTACTGCCGCTGCGCGTAGTCGGTGATCTGGCGCGTGAGCGGGCTCGCGTCCCGCCGCACGCCGCTCGCAAAGAGCCCGGCTGGTGCAGCAGCGGCTGCGAGGGCCGCTGGGGGCCGGCGGTGGGGCGAGCCAGGGCCGCGGGG